CCACCTACTTAATGAATAGGATTCAGTCTTCTGTGCTAAATGGTAAGTGTCCATATGAGTTTGTTTACGGATTCCAACATATCCTTACTCATCTTAAAAAATTTAGGTGTCTTTGCTTTGTTGTCATATATAACATTACAGATAAGTTTTTTCTCCCAAATCTGAAAAATGTGTTTTATTAGGGTATGCTAGCTCAAAGAAAGGATACGAACTTTTTAGTCAAGAATCTGACAAATATGTTATTTCTCGAGATATCAAGTTTTATGAAAATATTTTTCCATTTAAGATGACTACGAACAAGATTGGTGATTCTAGTCATCATGATGTTAACAGATTAAACCTTCTTGATTTTATGAATAGTTTGTCTAATGAGTTTGTGGATTCACCATCCAGTGATGACAATGGAGACAATTTTGTTGGTGAAAACACTCATCAATCTGGTTATGCCCCTAATAACAGTACTTTACTAGATAGCCCAACTAGAGCTGCCAATGAGGAGCCTCTAGACAACTCAAATGAATCTGTTAACCAAGGTTCTTCAACTCAAGTTGAAAATAATCTTGAAAGAGTTACCAGATGGCAACTCTTGAGTAGCTCTGACGTGGCTGCCAGTACTCAATAAAGTGATGAAAGTCTCATTCCTGAGGGTACTCTTAGTAACACCTTCTTCCTCTGCCCAGCCTACTAGAAGGCCTACTAGAGTCTATGTGTTTCCCCCAAAAAATTTGATGACTTTGTTATTGAAGGAAATGTTAAATATGGATTGGAAAAAGTCGTTAATTATTCTTATCTTTCGTCTGAAAATATGTGTTCTGTATCTAATCTAAACAAGTATGTTGAACCTAAATTTTTTCAAGAAGCTTGTATTGATGTTAATTGGATAAATGCTATGAATGATGAAATGGAAGCTTTACATCGAAATGGTACATGGATTATAACAGACTTGCCTTAGGGTAGAAAATTTATAGGTTGTAAATGGATTTATAAAATAAAATATAAGTCCATTGAATCCATTGGGGAAATAAAAAGGTACAAAGTTAGACTTGTAGCTAAAGGGTATAGTCAAAGAGAAGGTCTTGATTATGATGAAACCTTCTCTCATATTGTTAAAATGGTAACTGTGCGTTGCATTATATCCTTAGTTGTTCAGAATAAGTGGAATTTATTTCAATTAGATGTTAATGATGCTTTTCTATATGGAGATTTAGTTGAAGAAGTTTACATGACTTTACTTGAAGGTTACTATAATTCTAAAGATAATCATGTTTATTAACTTGTTAAGTCTTTATATAGGTTAAAGCAAGCTCCACGTCAGTGGTATGCTAAGCTTTCTTCTTGTCTAATTGAACATGGCTTTATTCAAAGTATTAACGATTATTCCTTGTTTACAAAGAAAGTTGAATATGTGTCTCTCATCTTGTTAGTTTATGTGGATGATATTGTTATTAGCGGAAAAAACCAGTCTGAAATTGATAAAGTAAAAGTTCTTTTAAAAAGTAAGTTTCTTATAAAAGATTTGGGAAAATTAAAATTCTTTTTAGGGATTGAAATTTTAGATTGTGTTAATAGGATTTGCATGTCTAAGAGAAAGTATTGTTTAGAGTTGTTTAATGACTTTGGATACTTAGGGTGTAAACCTTGTAATAACCCCATGAATATGAACTTGATTGTAACTGATTCTAGTAGTAACAATGATCCTCCTTTATCTTATTATATTGGTTATCAAAAAATTAACTTAAATGTTTTTTTAACTTTTATAGATTTACCCAAGTAGATCACTAATAGTTTTAAGAATTCATATTAGTCATGAATTTGGGATTAAAATAAAATTGTAAAATTATTCTTCTAAGTTTTATTTTGAATATTTAATCAAACATTAATTCTATAAAAATAATTTATATGATTTTTATTCTTCTAATATTGAATGTAATTTTTTTTAATATCATTATTTGATTGAACAATATATAGAAAACAATATATGTATACATATACCCTAATTTTATAGGAGGGTCAAATGCAAATCAACTCATTTGTATAAATCGTACAACCCTTATTCAACCAGTCATAATTCTTTTTCTTTTTTCTTTTTTACTTTTTTTCAATTATACGATTGATTAGTCATTTTTATCGTGAAAAACTTTAACCATGAATATTATCTTCATTATATTAATTTAGAAAGAAAAATTTAATCAAAATGAGAAATATATGAAACTATTTCATTTGTACATGGAAATAAAAATATATGAAACAATTTTATCAAGAAAAGAATTATATGAAACAATTTTATCATTATACAATTTTATGAGAGAATTTCATTAAATGAAACAATGAAATCGACGGTTTGTACGATTTGTAGAAATTACTTGTTTTGCATTTGATCTCTTCCCTAATTCTATATATGACATATAAATTTATCGTTTTATGTCACATCTTAAAAAACGTCTCATCTTCATCGTGACGTGTAAGACTTGAGATTTGAACTCGACAACACACCTCACACCCTTTAAAACATTGAATTAGAATATAAGAAGACTGACTTTATGTGTCTTGTCATGCTGTTTATTTTGTCAATAAAATTTATTATTTGTATTTTTTTAAATGAATTTTTTTTATCTTAACAATTTATTGTAACGTTTTTAAATATTTTTTGGAAACTTACTAATCATCTTATTAATTGTTATAAATAACTGAAATTCTATAAAATTAATTTTATTAGGATAAAAATTAATTGTTCAATAAATGTTACAAATGAACGGTTGGTTTATGATTGAGTTTTGAACCGTTGCAAGACAATGTGGTGATTAAAAGAAAGACAAAAATAGAGAAAGGATTTAGCATGGGAACACTTTCTACTGTTGGATTTGACATTTATGACTCAAAATAAGGAGAATGCAATAACTTTATTCAACAAATACACAACCATCCATAAACATTATTTATTTATTTATTTTATTTAAACCACATAAAATGCAACTTTTTTTTTCTTTCACAAAAAACAAATCATTAAAATGCTTCAATATTATAAGATTTCAGCCTAACTTTCGGCACATATTCATCTCTTTCAACTTTATGTAATCAATTAATTCTCTGATTATATCGATTTAGAAACGGTCGTTAACATCGTGATTAAAGATCCATGGTTGAGGTTGTGCCTCAAGATATAACGATTGATGATCAAAAGAAACGATGAAGTAGGCAAACATCATGTTAATGAAAGCTACTTCACTCATGAGTAATTGTGACGAAATGGTGATGTACGCAAACATCATGGTGTCATGTGGATCTTAATTACTAAATCATAACCATAAAACCATCCTTTTTTTTGCAAAGAATGTTGTCGCTACAACTTTAAGCCAAATCTGGCTAAAACACTTTACAATTTATAATCATATGCAATTCGACATTCAGTCACTAGCCAGCAGTCACAAATGTGTAGAGTTGCAAAGAAATAGCAACGAGAAATACATTGGTTAGACGTTAATTAAAGACCTTTCTAAATTTGAAGCCTATTAATACTATAAACAATTTATTAGTGTAAGTTCATATTTAACAATCATAAGTTAAATTTATTTTATGAGTTCATTGAATAAACCGTTTTTATAAGTTATAAGGTAGGTTTTTTTTTTAAATATGACTTGTTAAAGTTATTTTTTCACCTTTTTTATTTTGTAAGTATGCCTTTGATATGTACATAAATCCTTCTTGTATTTTACATAAATATCTTTTATATTTTTCTTTAGATTATTTTACATTTTTATCTAATTATCAATTAATTTTTATCAATCGTCACTCAATCATGACCAAAATTAATAACTAGCTTACTAGCCAATGAAAAAAAATTCTCCTACTACCCTTCCCTATTTATTTCATGTCTTTTCAATCACATATAAACACATTATTTTTATCTCTTCCACCACCATATATATTTAAGGGATGGGCTATATGCTTAACCTTTGGTTTGAATTGATGTATTATATTCATAACCCCCATATATAGGGCATTTGTGAATGAGCAAATGGGTAGGAAATAAGATGGTATATGAATAAATAAATGGGCATAAAAATCAACCCCTTTCAGATTATGTATCCTCTCACGTAAATGTTGTTTAACATCTGTTATTCCACAACGGATAGCGCATCTAGTAACTTGAATATTGCATTTAGCCACTCCTTTAATTTAAATACATACCTTGTACATTTACATTATATTTTATTCATCTACGTTTACATAACTATTTTTCACAGTTAGTCTTAACTTCTTTTCTTACAATCTCGAAATGTGATTAGAAATATAAGGAAGGAATATCATGTGATTTTTATTTTTAACCAACGATTAACTTAAGCATTTCTAATGGAGATTCTTGTAAAAACCTCATTTTTGCACTTTCTATTGTCAACTTATCTCTAACTCATCAAATTAAAAACCCTTTTAAAAGTCCACAACGATTTAACCTCTTGTTTTAGATTGTATTGATTATGTTAATATATATTAATAATTATAAGTTCAAAAACATAAAATAAGAAATAAGAAAAATGTCATGTTTTACAAACTTTATGATAAGAACCAAACTTTTTATTCAAGCACCTAGAAGGCATGAAATTCTAATAAGAACATCCCCGCAGTGATAATTATTACAATTCACTACACATTTTGCTGAAAGAACCTTACATTAAAGATCTTATAAATTAATTTATCAGACATATATATCGAACATTCTTAAAGTATCTCCGACAAGTATATTGTATTTTTTTCTCTCTTTTTAAAATTTAAATATTTTTCCATTTCTTTCTTTTTTTCTTATTTTAAAAAGAAGTTCAACGAAGTTCGTTGAAATAAACATTTTTCAAAATCTCCCAAATTTCAAAAAGATAGATGCTTTAATTTCTAAGGAATTAGAGCACAGAGCCTTGTCATGATCAAATTAACAAGTAGCAAAGTAACGTGTTTTGGGCATCGAGCCTATCGTCAAAATTGGGTGGTTCAATTCTTGCATAAAACATGCACACAGAAAATCCGGATTATGCCATAAGATATTTGATTGGACAACAAACAGTACAAAGCCAATTAATTGATTCCATGAAATTTAGGGCTTAATTAATTAATATTAATAATGGTGTCAACCAAGCAATCCGCCACCGGAGGAACCATAAACGGATGTTGATGGGTGGTTAAGTGGTGGTGAAATTAAAGAACCACCCACATTCCGCCGTCCTCCACCGCCCAAATGTAATTCAGATAAATTTGGAATGTTAGTTTGGTCTCTTGTTTCAGCTCCTTGATCATAGAGAAAACCTTTGAACACATGACCACCGATTTTCACACATGCTTGATATGCATATTCGTCGTCTCCGTCTTCAACCGCCGTCACTCTCACACATTTGAACACCGCCGGAGCACGCACTTGCCCCGGTAATGATTGCATAAAGCTTGCATCTAAATTTTTAAAAATCGTAAAAACAAGATTTAATTGTCATTAACTGCACCATAAAATGAAACCTAGAAAGTAAAAGGAAATCCGTCCGCCATTAACGAACATGGTGTTTTCTTTACCTTGGTGGTGATGGCTAGAACTGCTGTTGAAGCTTCTTGGAGGCGTGGTATTTGAAGTTGAAGTGTGGGAGGCGGTGGTAGCGGTGGTCTGAGAAGTGAGTCGAGGCTTTTTAGTGGCGGAGGTGGAGGCTGATGAACCTGCTGCAGCGCCGCCGCCGCCGGTGGTGGTGGATGTCATGAGCTGACGTTCTCGACGGCGAGCGGCGGGGACCCAAGTGCTTTTCACGTGGGTAGCACAATCAAACCCTCTACTCTTACAGCATGTCCTGCACCGCCGATGGCTACAGTCTTTCTTAGCTTGGTTACCACAGTCTTGGCAAGTCATGGTGGATCCCGACGTCAACGATGCCGACCCGCCGCCGTGGAGAAAACCGTGATCGGGAATCATGGGTTTCTTTAAATAATTGTGTTGATTCTGAGGTTGCCAGAACTGAATGCTATTATTATTATTAGCAGTAGTAGTATTAGTGGTGTTGCTTGCTCTACCCCCACGATTACCAAACACATCGTCCTCCGCCGTCAGACAAGTGGTGGCAGTTAAAAGAGGGATGACCCCAACGCCAAGGGCCGTCGCAGTGGCCGCAGCGGCGGTGGCATTTGAGATTGGAGTGTTGAGAGAGTGAGCATGCGCATGATCAGAGAGATGATGACTTGAAGGAGCAACAACAAACACGTCACGAAGACCCAACATGCCAATTTCAGCACCATAGTTGATATGGCGAGCAGCGGCGGAGACGGAGGACGACCAAATCCCCGTCGACCCACCAACGGCGGAGGCGGGACCGGCATTGAAGCCCAAAGAGAGGTCGTGTTCGGAAGGTCTAGAAGAGGAGGGATTAGCAACCCAGTCTGCAAACGCACCTGAATCTGAAGGTTGCAGCCTACTACTCCTGCTAGAAGCCACAACTACTACGAATTAATATTTATGGTAATTTCCTTAGATTTTCTTCTTTCTCCAACTATATTTTTCTCAACAAATTGAAGATCTGAGAAGATCTAGCAGTGTTGCAGGTCCTGTTACAAGATTTGCAGACATAAAAAGAGAGAAAGATTTGCAGAAGATTTGTAGCAAAGAGAGAGAGAGATGTACAACTGGTATGATGCAGAAGATTTGCAGTAAGATCAGAACAACAAACTGATCTAAACTAAATCATATATAAAATACAACTTCATTTAAGGATTGTTTCTTTCTTCTTCTGAGGTTACTTTTATGGCGTCGTGGATGTTGGAAAGCGAGATAGGTTGGGGTTAACTTCACTCAATCTCTCTCCAATAATCAAAGGATAGGAGCATAGTTGGGAAAAGGGTATGAATATTTTTGTTCTCTAGTTTCTTGTAGTTATGTGGAGAGGGAAGGGAGGTGGAGGCCCTAAACTCTTAAAGTCACATGACCCTTCGATTCTCTAGGGCTACTACTACTGCTGCCACCTCCCCAAACAACAACAAAAAAAAACCCACCTTTTTTCAACATGTCCGTTCTATTTTATTATATTTTTAACTTCTTTTATTCACCTTTATATCTAAATTTATACTATCTTATAAAGTATTTAATAATTTCTAATGTATAATGTATTTATGTACTCTTGATTTATACATAAAACCTCAAAACTTTTCTTGCTAGGAATATTCCTAGACAACCTATAATCCAAAGTGATTTTAGTAACATCACCCAGACAGATGAAGGAACTGTYTATGTTCAATTTGATGATACTAGAAGTATTCCTTATACTGAGACAAGACCTCTTTTAAGGTCTCACTCTCTTTCTCATGGAACCCATAGCTTTATTTCTCCTTTTGGAAATAGGGTCAGTCAGCCTTCGAGGGCCTCAACCTCTTATTTAAGAGATCCTCAGCATCATTTATCTGAGGCTGAAGAGCATATTGAATCCTCTTCTCAACAACCTGTAGATGAACTAAGAGTTCATAGAAAYGGTATTGTTCATAATAATCCTGTTGATTCTAGCATCCCCCAACAGCCTCATAGGTTTGGAGAGACTATGTCTGACATCAATATCTAGGGTTTTTATGGATTTTGATCCCTCAAGAAGTTGGGTTACTAGTGAAGGAAAAATTGACTTCACTCATGGATCTCCTGCTAGACAGCTTGTCTGCAAGGATTACTATGGTAATCCTAAATGGGCTCCTTTTCGAAATTGGTATATTGAAAATTTTTCAAAAGADGAAATTGCTAATTTCTCTGCTGAATTCTATGAATTCTGTACTAARGAAAATGAGACATACTCTTTYATTCCTTGGTTTTTCCATACTCATATAAAACATTTTATAAATGTTATCCAAAGAGATTATCAACTTCTTAATGGAGATATTAAATCTACCATTTAYCCYCCWCARTCTCCTTTTCTCATGAAAAATAATAATTCTTCCTTCCGATTCTCTGCTTTTTCAAATCTTATCAAAGATAATACTCTTTCTGCTACTTCGTTACATATTAACGAATTACTTGAAAAACAGAATTATTCMAATCTTATGTTGAAAATTCTTGGAGAACAGCTTTTTTCCATAGAGGATAATATTTCCCTCATTTTAAACAAGATTTCTCAAATTGAGACAAATCAGCAAAAACAAATTGTTACTCYTGCTGATATTCCTTCTTCTTCTGAAAAGATTATTCTAACTTCCAATACCATTCAGCCTCCTCCTGAAATAAAAGATTTTAAACTTAAATCCCCTTCTGAGGAGTTCATGAAACAGCTTGATTTAAAGCTTTCCAAGTTACATGTTACCAAACCTCCCTCTCTCTCCATGCTTAGCCATGACTTTCAGTCTGAGTCTGAGTCCCCTCATCATGAACAGATTGATGGCCAAATTCATAAAATGAAATGGGCCAAAACTCCTAATCTTAATAAGTATTATTATAATCGCCCTACTCCCATGGATGTTCTTCATGAAGAACAGGAGTACATTATTAACAATAGTTATAATGGTAAATGCATTTATGAGTGGAGTCTTGATGGTTTCGCTGATAAACATATTTATAATATGGCTCATAGGATGTTCATGTATAGCACAGTGTGTAAAAACACAGGCAATAATGATAAAGCCATTGCTAAAATGATCATTGCTGGTTTTACTGGTCAATTGAAAGGTTGGTGGGATAATTACATYCCCCTTTCTCAAAAAGATGAAATTCTTAACTCTGTTAAGAATGAAAATGGAGAAGAGACAACAAATGTTGTMTATCCTTTAGTCCTTACTCTTATAGAGCATTTTACTGGCAGGTTTTCTGATAATCATGAAAATATTCGAACTCTTATCAGTAATCTTCGTTGCAAAACTCTTACTGAGTTTCGTTGGTATAAAGATACATTTCTTTCTCGTATCTTTGAACTCAAAGACTGTAATAACAGTCATTGGAAAGCCAAATTTATTGATGGCCTTCCTCATCTTTTTGCTGARAGAGTCCGTAAGATTCTTAAAAAAGATAAGGTTTCTGTTAACTATGATGATTATACTTATGGTCAGCTGATCAGTACTTGTATTGCAGAAGGTCTTTCTCTTTGCAATGATTTGAAATTAAAACACCAAATCAGGAAGCAGAATATGCTTGAAAGAAAACAACTGGGAGATTTTTGTGACCAGTTTGGTATGGAGGTTCCTTATAAGAAACCAAAAAGAAAATTTCATAAAACTCGTGATCGAGATTCTTCTAATCACCGTCATCATAAACGACGTTTTAAAAGAAAATCTTTTGATAAAGATTTACAAAACTCTAATAGAGTTGATGACCCTAAAAAACCTACTTTTGCTAGGCAAAGAAAATCTTTTAAATCTTCAAACTCTCAGGGTTTCAAGAAAAACAAAATTGTTTGTTCAAATTGTGGAAAAGTTGGTCATTCTTCAACAAATTGTTGGACTAAAAAGAAGATCAATAATTTAAACATTGATCAAAATACAAAGGATTCTCTTTTGAATATCTTTTTAAATTTCAAAAATTCTGATGAAGAACCTGATTCTGTTTCTAATTCTAGCTCCATTGATGAGTCTGATGACTCTGTCGAGGATTCCTATTTATCTTCGGATTCTGAAGATTTGAAATCTTCTCCTTGTGATACTTGTGCTATTGGTCAACCTTGTGCTAAGAACTGTCTCAATGTTATTCAAAATAACACTTCGACGGACAGCCATGATGAGTTTTATAAACTCCTTTCTCAATTTCAGGATCTAAATATAAATGTTTTAACTGATGAAAAGGTTTTAAAACTTTTACAAAAAATAAAAGATCCTMTGATTTGTTCTGAGATTTTAGAAAATCTTGAGTTTAATAAACCCAGTTCTTCTACTTCTCTTTCTCCTGTCAATAATATTGATTATTCTATGAAAGAATTACATCGCCTTCTTCAACACAAACAATCTTCRTCTACGGCGATTTCTGTCACTGACCTTCATAAMGAAGTGGCAATTCTTAAGTCTGAAATTTCTGCTTTRAAAGAAGACAATGTTCTTCTTCATAAACATCTTGCAATTGTTTCTGCAAGTCAAGACCTCTTAGTCAGAAATGCTACTTTTCATGTTCCGCCTGAAGAATTGAAAGAACCAGAGAATACTCATTCTTCTTCTACTAAGCCGCCTGATAATGCTACTCTTTCTACTATCAGTCGCATGATTACTCAAAAATGGTTTACAAAAATTACTCTTCTTATAGATGGCCATTTTCAAAAAGAATTTTTAGCAATGATTGATAGCGGGGCTGACCTGAATGTTATTCAAGAAGGTCTCATTCCCAGTAAGTTTTTTGAAAAAACTTCTTGTTCCCTTTCTCATGCGGGAGGCGGTGCTCTTGATATCAAGTTTAAACTTTCCAATGCAAAAATTTGCAATCAAGGTTGTTGCATTACAACCAGCTTTCTTCTAACCAAGGTTATTTCTCATGAAATTATTCTAGGACTTCCCTTTATCTATCAACTTTATCCCATAACTCATATTGACGAATATGGTCTTACAGGTACTTTTAATCAGAAAGCCCTTACGTTCAAGTTTCTTGATCCTCCTGTTAAACGATTTCTTGACATTCTTCAAGATCGTATTGATAGAAAAACCTTTCATCTCTACTCTCTTAAAGAAGAAATTTCTTCTCTAACCATAGATGAAAAGCTTTCTAATCCTCGTCTAAAATCTAAGATTGATTTCATCCATAATGACTTCTCTCTTMRTATTTGTAATGACCATCCCAATGCTTTTTGGGATAGAAAGAAACACATCGTTTCTCTTCCTTATGAAGATGATTTCTCAGAAATTAATATTCCTACCAAGGCTAGGCCTTGTCA